CMCWSTRTMWYATMWTATTGAAGCTGCTAGTCATTATTGGCAATCAGTTTAAACCAAAAAGCTACTGGATAACACTTGCCATTCATGTATTTTGCAGGCACTACTTATTAGCATTTTGGCATGTTTGGGGTCATAAAGAGAACGTATCACCTATTGACTACCTACTTCTGTTGGGTCCACACTGCATTTTTTTTTTTTTTTTGTGAACTATTAATGGTGCTTCTCGCTTTCTGATAATTTTCCTCTTATTAAGTAAATGTATTAAAAAGTATTTTCATAATGCGCCAACATGGTGGTCCAATGATAACTGAGCAGATAAAGACCAGGTGTCCTGAAAGTTTTATTGCAATTTTAAGTTTTGGTAACTATGTCCTCCCGTAAAAGTGTAAAAACTACAAACTCTTTCAAAACATCATTTGAAAGTTTAGTTACATTTCTTTTAAACTTAATTTCATAAATTTGGAATGTTGAGCTCTTCAATTTTTTGTTAGCGGTCCCTCTTGAAGATGGCAAACATTGACTGGAACAAAAAATTGAAAGCTCAATATTTTTGCAAAATTAAATTTAAAGGAAATGTAATTTAACTTTCAAATGATGTTCTGAAGTTTGTAGAATTTATACTTCTACAGGTGTCAAAGCTTAAAATTACACTGAAATTTGTGGAGATAAAAAAGGTYAAAAAAATTTTAAAAAGGTACCCTCCTCTTTTTTAAAGTAGTTTATTCAGGATTGTGTTGTATCTGCTTTGATCACCTAAATTTCTTTTCTATAGATTTGGTAAAGGAAGATTATGAAAGAGGAGTGTTAATTCAYATGTAATAAATGAAAAGAAATTGGACCCTAATAGCAGGTGATATGAAAGTTCTTGTTCTTTTTTATTTTTAATCCTAAGTGTTAACCTGGTTGTAGGTATCTCATTTCAAGTCCTGCTATATAAGAGAGAACTTAACGAACCTTAGGAACCCTTACTTCAGGCAAGGAGTAAATATAAGAGGTTGATAACAATGTCACCTAAATTTGAAATATAAAACGATTAGTGTTCTAAACTATGTGAAATCCATTTCTCTACTTAAATGTAATCCTAGGAATCTTACACTTATGAGCCAGGAATACTCTTTCTCAATATAGCAATGCTTCACGTTATACTGAGTGCTGAAGGTTCCATCATTTTTAAAGGACAGACATAAGTGATAAATAATGGTATTTGAAATATTACAATCTACCACCTCAAGAAAAAAAAAACATTGTTTATGGAGTTCAGAGCTTGGAGATTCAAGTATTGATTGCAGTTTTATTTTGAAAAGAATGCTACAACTTATGTGGTTTTTATTTCTCATGTTTATATTAAAAGAAAAGCTAATAAAACTCTATTTTAATTAAAATATGGTCACTGTGTTTGTAACACTTCTCTATTCTCATAGTGTCACATCTTTCCAGATCTTAAATGTTTACATCTGTCCTAATAGGCTTTTAAACTGACGATTGAAACTGATATGACCTATGCCTCTGCTGAAGGTATAGCAATTCATTTATTGTGCTTAGGTTCTCTTCCACTTGAAAGCAGTTTATTATGCTTAAAAATCACTGGCCACGGTAGTTAGTGGRATAGTGCATTAGATGGCATCTTTGAATAGTTGTTATTCTCCCTGAGAGGGAAAAGCAGATTAAAAGAAAAAATTAGGGAAAACATGCCAAGAGAAAAGAAAGGYATAATGTAGATTTAGAACATAAGGTACTTTTGGTACCTAAGGTTGAGTCTTTAAATGATCACTTTGTTCTTGATACATTGCTGATTAGGATAAATGATCTGATTTAATTTAGAAGGGAAAAACACCTATCATAAACTAGTATAATTTACATCCTGTAACATCACTCACTAAGCAGAAATGCTGACACATAAGATAAAAGATTTGGGAGAGGTACAGTGGACATGAGTCTGACTTAAGAACCAACTGGCAGAATAAGWAGTTTCACTAAAAGTTGATCCTCCAATTGGCCTTACCTCTAGAAGGCAGGGCAGCCATTGTTTTGAGGCATAGAAACCAAGTTGCTAGTAAGGTGGTAACTGCAGTTTTCTTAGGATTCTATACCTAGGAAAGATAAAAGAAATAGCCACCTGGATTCGACTTCATTTTCATTTGGGGTGGGGTTTTTTTGGCTTCATTTTTAAGACTGTAATATAGACCTCAAGTTTTAATTGGTGTATTGTGAACTTTCATGACAAGGAAAAAACAAATTTGAAATACATATTTAAACCCAGTGAAACTGCCATTTTGCAGGTCAAAAAATAATTGCCTGTGAGTAATTTTATGTGGTTCATCCTGACACCACAACTTGAGTCTCGGTATTTTTGGTTTAAAAAATTCACGAATCAGAGCTGTAATTGTAGCTCAGCGGTAGAGCGCTTGCCCAGCATGTGTGAGGCACTGGGTTCGAGTCTCAGCACTGCATATAAATAAAGGTCTATGGGCAACTAAAAATATATTTTWAAAAAATTTTCACATATCAGATTCCATCCAAGCTTTTTATTTTCATATTTCCTATTTACCTCCCAATATGCCCATATATTATTGAAATCCAATAACATTGAATCCTGATTTTATAACAGTTTGACTTCTTGGTTTAGTTTCCTACAGCTCTAAATGCAGTATTTTTTGGTTTAAAAAAAGCAAATATCGGGCTGGGGTTGAGGCTCAGTGTGTGTGAGGCTCTGGRTTTGATCCTCAGTACCACATTAAAAAAAAACAAGGATATTGTGTCCATCTACAACTAAAAAAGGAAATCTTAAAAAAATTAACTAGAAAACAATTTAGTCTTATTGGAAACTAGTTTGCACACAAGCTAAAATCTTCTCTTTAACCATGTTTAAGATGACAGTAAATTGTTTCCTCACCCATTCTTGAGAATAGTACTACTTGGAAAAGTACTTAACAGCTGGCAGAAAAATAACCTAAGTTACCGCTTGTTTGCATGCAAAATCTGTAGATTGTACCTAGAATCTATCAAGCAGTCTATCATTAGATCATCATAATTCTTAACAGCCAGACACTTAACCTTGAAGGCCTAACACTGCCAGCAAACAATACAAAAGATCCAGGAGCTCTTCGGTAAGGCTCCTTTCCCTAGTACGAGGGGCAATACATTTGGTTTCTAAGGCAGTTTTCACTGAACTATTCTAAATGGGTTTGGCAAGTGAAAATGCATCCTTAGCCGTGAGATAAAGTTTAAGAATACCAGTTTGTGCTTTGTTCTTCCTGCGCCTCAGGAAAGTGAAATCGGAAATTAAGAGGAATCTGGAATCAAGTGGGGTAAAGAGATGGGTGGTTATTTTAACTGATTTAAGGACTAAGCAATTTCAATGAGATTAGGGAGATTTGGTGTGATAGTCCCAGACCCTAAGGTCCTTAGTAAGATATAAGTAGTATCTTCTTTAAATACCTCAAATGACACAGAAATTTGTCTTATAATCTACTGCTTCATCTTCTCAATTCAATCCTTTACCTGCAATCCCAAGATGGTGTCTCTTGTATGTAGCTCAGTGTGAGARCTGACTCCTCTAAAGGTATTCACTCACCTGCTGCTTCAGCCCTTTGGGACCCTCCCACGAGCAGTCCATTCTAGCTTCACCCTGTGACCTTCAGCTAGCCTCCAACCTGGCAATGCTTGATATTATTTACTGTGACTTCCTAAGTATTAGCACCAGGTTCAAGAAAATAAAGCTTTTATATGGCATACATGCCCCCTAGTCTCTTTGTTCACCTGTTTTCCCCAAAGCAGCTATCTCTAACTCGTTCTTAGCAATTCCCCTGAGCTGCTTACATCCTTAAGCATATATCTTTGATCTAGACTGGACTAGGTGTAGTATCTGCCACCTTCCAAAATCTGGTATTTCAACTGGCATTAGACATCTTGTTTTTAAGGGAACTAATGGAGAAGATTCCATTTCCAAAACTCCACCCCCTTCTGCTTTAAAATTGCATTCAACTCCTCAGCTAGGGGATGGGGCGAATTGATTTTGTTCAGTCCTTTCAGTGTCCCAGATCTTCTCAAGATTTGATCTGCAAACCACCTGCCTCATCAGCCGAAAGAGCCTGTGAAACATGAATCTTCAATAAATGCAGTGGTATCCTGGATTGGGTTCTGCACAGATAGGAACATTGGTAGAAAATCTGATGCCTGGAGGTCACTGTAAYGTGCTAACACTGACTTCTTAGTTGTAACAAGTGTTACAACTATAACATCCTGTAAAAATATACGATGTTGATGAGTAACGTTTGCAACTTTTTAAAATCTTGGATAACTTTAGATTTGCAAAAAATTCCAAAATTAAAAGTTTTTTTKGGGGGAAGGGGGAGCTTCTTTGGTCCCAGAGCTACTAAATCTCAATTCCTGGGGCTGAGGCTTGGGAATTTACATTTTTCACAGGAACTGCAAGTGATTCTTATGCAGACTCAAATTTGAAAACATCCTCTCAACTCCCTTTCCATTCCATGCCTGAACATCTTCTGCCTCCTAGCTTTACTACCTTAACCTTGCTTTAACCTGGTTTAATCCTTTAAGTCTTCTGAACCCTAAGATATAATTGCCACTATTTCCCCCTTTTCACAGATGAGAAAAAAATACTATGAGATTAAATTCAGAATCACAACCCATTAGTAGTGGAGCTGGGATTTGAATTTTCAGTTGTCTTGACTCCCCAGCCTAGGCTTATAACCATTCTGCCTTTCAACCCTGTTTCCATCGTCAAACTGAAGAGCTCTGTAAATAAATCACTAATAGAAGCATTATGATATCATCCTGGGTTCACCTCTTCTCCAACTTTTTCTAAAGTCTCTGCTCTAGCTTGTGACTACCCCTCTCTCCCTTTTCAGTTGGCTAAAAATGAGCCAGGAGAAAGCAAGGGAGAGATGAGCCAGCTAGTCCTGTACACCTAAGTACCTGTAACTGCTTTTCTGTCAGCATCATGCCTACCTGTTATATCCCTCCCCGCAACCCCCCTGCCCTAACTTATGTACCAATCTAATAAAGTCCATAGCACTCAGTGTCCATTGACATTGAATTAAATACTCTCATGTTGTTATTCCCACCTCTAAATGGATTTATTGTCTCCCTTGACATTTTAAACCCTTAATTACCTTTGTTTTCCCACACATTTTCTCACATTGCCTCCAAACATTGCTAGAGAACACTCACATACCAGGCATTAAAATGAAGTGGTATTTGGAACATCGGTGGCTAATTTTCCTTTTTGCCAAAGCAGCAATCAGAAGATGCACTGGCGATAGTATTCAGGCTCACTAAGCATCTGTGCTTAGGTGACAGGTAAGTATGGACTCTAAATCAATTTCTATCTTCTCCAGGCTCCCTGATGAATTTAGAGCTCAATACCTAGTAGTGAATCCAATTACTGAAATGATAAGCAATTTTGGGAGTCGTCCCTTAACCAAATACACACAGTATTGCATCATCTCTCTCCAAATAGGTTCAGTGTGTAGACAGAGTGTTTATAAAACAGAACACAGGCAATATCTCTGTTTTTCCATGGAGCTCCCTTCATTTCTTCAAATGAATAATTGAACAATCACAGGATGGGCAGGAGAAACAAAGTATATTCCAGTAAAACATGCTTTAATTCATTCTGCTTCTGGTGACTGGAATTTGCTTCAATTTTTACTTATTAGACTTTGATGTTTATATTTTAAGAACATCTGAAAAACCAGATTACAAAGTTAGAATCCACTCCTCAGACCATCTTAGAAAGCAGAGAGTCTCTCCATAAATGAGAAAGAGACTTGAAGGGCATCTGTTTATTTTCTTTACCATTGCTTTAATGCATTTTAAAAGTTATCTACATTAATTGGGAACAAAGAAACAAAAATAGACATTTCTTTGTTTTCATAAATAACTAATCTCCATATTTGATAAAAATCTCAAACCATTATTTTACCTTCCCACAAATAGAATTCATACAAATTATTTTTTCTGAAATAAGGTCAGCAAGTTAAGTATCTTGAGACTAACATAACCATGTACAATTGCTGCTCTACTTCCAGGAACAAAACAAAACCTCTTTATGATACTCTGGGTTTCTTTTTATTAGTGTTATGGATTCAGAATTATAATCATTTGTCAGTAATAATTTATAGATTAAAATTGATTGTCTACAAATAAAATATCGCTGGCTCTGATGCGAGTTCTGGATTTGACAGCGACAGTGACTATACTGCATGGGGTAGGCACTACACACTTAGGAAATCATAAAAAGTACTGAATGCCCTGGACTCCAACTACTGACTCGGTATGTGCCTCATTTGGCTCAGTAAGAAATTCACCTGCACCAAACCCGTATCAAAAAATCACTAAATCTCTCATATATATAATATATATTATGTATATACACACCCACAAGACATACATACTGTACATACAGTTTGTAAAAACATGAAGTAATATTGTCTTTAAAAGATGTGCCACAGACAGACAGACATGCTGGCTGAAATAAATCCTGTAATTGTCATCAGGCTGCTAGAAGCTTCTGAGTTTTGAGTCAGGTTAACTTACATCCTGCCTATCCTTCACCCTTCTTTAATGTCTTGGTAGTTTTTTTCTTTCAGAACCACCCTCCCCAACCCAGGCATATTTCTTCCCCAGAATCACTTGATTAGACTTTGGAGACAAAAAAGGGCATGCAGAGGGAGCAGGGATTCTTAGTCACTGTACCTCACACCTGCCTAGATTTGTGATGTGCTCCATCCTGTTTGCCACATTCGGTGTTAGAAAGCAGTTATTCAAAGCTTTGTCCCTCCTACCCCCCTTGGTCTTTCTGTAGAGCACAAAAGTGAAAGAAGCTTCTTTAGCAGGGGTAGCAGTTCATTAAAATATACAACTGCGCTTCCTAGCTCTGGGGTTCCCATTCTGTACCAGAGAGTGCAGGTCACCGATGCTGTTATTAAGGTTCGGTGTGTGATCCATGAGGTTTTCTCCTGGCAGCCCGTGTCAAGATTAGTGCAGCCCTGGCCCAGGAGGGAACTGCCTAATGAATACCAACTTTGAAACAGTGCTGTCGGCATATTATTTAAGCTTGTACGTTCACACAATTACACACAACACATACACACAGGACCTGGTCGTCGGCAATAGTCACATGGAAACTTGACAAAAGGTTTGTGTGAATAAACCAATAAGGCACCAAGAAAAATGATTTCCAGCCAATTTAGACAACTTCAAAATGCGAGGAGGGAAATAATATAAATTTTAAAAACTTCCCACAATCTGGCCACTGAGGTCCCATTAGTTCCTGGAGGCAATTTTCTACCTAGATCCTCCCCAGCTAACCTGTGAAGTGAGACACTGCTTAAAACGGGACAGTGAAAGGGACAGTCCAGAAACTGGATCTGAGATASAAACAGGGCCCCTACATCCCAACCTCACAAGGGTGGCTGTGAAGAAGTTGCTGAACTACCTACCCCATAGCCTTTCATTTTATAACTGTTTTCATGAGTATGATTTGTTTTTATAACAAAAATGCAAAACAGGGAAAAATAAGTATGTGGGTAGAAATAAGGAGTGGCTATAAATAGATGCAGTATTCTCCCTAGGTGGGTTGGCTGAGTACTAAAAGGGGGGGTATCTTTGTTTCTTTTAGTGAATGAGGGAAGAAAGGAGAGCAGGGGTGAGAATAAAAGGTGCTTCTGAAACTAGATCTCAGAAAGCATAACCTATCTTGCTTGCCTCCCTTGGCTTAGCATCTATGTTTTAACTGTCTAATTTTGCAGGTTAAATTAATTGTTTTCAGGTTTTGGGATGTTGCAACAAAAAAACCCAAAAGTGTGAATCCACTCACTTCATCCTACAACTTCTAGATTTAGTGCATCATTTCTGGATTTGAAGGAAGGGGGATAGCCCAAATCTGAAGGCAGCAGATTCTGGGAAGACATGTTAAATGAGGTATGAGGTCAAGGTGATCTCATTTGAAAAAAGGAGAGGAACTGGTGGCCAGGCAGGAGATCCATTGCAAGGTTCTAGGAAGAGGCTTCTGAATAAATAGAGGAAAAAGATATGCGCAAAGTTCTGTAGCTATGTATACACGGTTCTGTCAAATCTCCGGGATTTTTAATTTTGATTCAGAGAATGAGCTGGGCAAGAGCAGTACGATTTTATTAATGTGATCAGCTTTGGAGCTATGGTACTAGACTTCTCTCCACCAACTATTTTGATTCCCTGTGGCAACTATGTATTTGTCTACTCAACACTCATGAAGGAAAAATGATGTAGGTTTAAATTTTTCTAACTTTGGTTCAAATGAAGCTCAAATGCCTAGATTCCAATTGTTTCCCTAGGGAAGCTTTCTCAGTCTTTAATTGCTTTGGCCATTAAATTTCTTTTCCACTCGGTCCTGGTCACTGGTATTTTCTGGCTGATGCACTGTCACCCCTTTCCCAGTGGTGGCCTCACACTCTTCATGAATGAATGGTTAAACAGATTAGGAGAACATAACTTCCGAAGGCAAAGAAGTGTGTGTGTGTGTGTGTGTGTGTGTGTGTGTGTGTGTATTCACCAAGATATAGGCTTTCATATATGAAGGAATGGTTAAACATTAGAAAAGCAAACCTAGTAACAGCAAGTGTGTTATAGGCCTTTCTTTTTCTCAGAAAAGGAAAAGGAAAATTAAGGTGGGGTGGGAAGTGGAGTGGGGAGGGGGCTTCTTCTTGCAATGGCATTCCACTAATCATATTTAAAAGCTTATGCAAGGATGTTGTGGRTCTCATTTGTTTTCAGAGACTGCAGAGAGCACTGTATTGCTGCTTTGGGGAAAAAAAAAAAAAACTAGCCCTGAGTCCAGGGACACTTGTTTTCCCTCCTTGGGGCCAATGTTTGTTCACAGGTAGCCAGCCTCCCTCCCCCAGTTCAAGCACTTCACTGGAGGGTGGGTGTGGTTTCTAATCACAGCTCTCCAGGAGAGAAGGAATAAGAAAAGCAAAAAGACTGTTTAACATGATAAAGGAGGCAGGGTGAGGGAGCAGATAAGAGAAGCTGGAAATTTACTTTAATTACTGGAAGCATATCCGTTTTAGTCCTTTAATTTAAAAGGGAGCCCTCTTTAGCAACAATCCCTAAGTATTTCCAGAAGACRAGAGTGGGTGTACTTTCACCAAAATTGTAACACAAGTTCCTTTAAAATAATAAGGGATCACAGAAGCTTATTAAGAACCACCCACCCCCTCTCTGGCACAACGCTTACCATCTCACCAGTCTAGAATTCACGCTCAACCAATCATCATCTCTTAGGCTCTTATTATTGCAAATGTTTATGGCGGACATTCTAGCTGCTACTTCTAACTTGGACAGGACACTGGTTCTGTTAGGAATGAAAATGACTGCTGCAAAGAACCCAAAGCTCAACTGACAAGGTTAAGGATGCACACAAAATCCCTAGGCACTCCCTCACCTAAACCTGTCAACTTGGAGAGGCCCTAGCACATTATGTTCCCCTCCTTGGGAGGACTTGGGGCTGTACTCTGGGACGTGCAGCAGTTCTAAAGCAGCTTGGACACTTTTAAGCAGTGGAAGGAGAAATTAGTTGAAAAAGCACACTCCACTCCTTTCCAGTCACAGCAACCCAAACTTTCACTGTTCACATTTTTTTTTTAAAGACACACGTATAGGAAATATATTTTCCCAATTTAGACCACACAGTTCAAAGAAACCTGAACCAAATGGAACCTCATTACAATGCCAACTTTAGGATTGTAAAGCCCCCAAAGCAAAGGTAAATTCTGTTGCCAAAATGCAACAGTTAAAAATTAAGAACAATACATATAAATTAAAAAGAGGGTTCCTCTAAAGGCGGCAGTTAAGAAACGCAAATCAGTCTACRCGTGAGCAGAGCCCCTTTAAGAACTGGGACAGATGCTCCCTGGAAACTGCCCCTTTCCCCTCTCTCCAATTTGTCCTGGGAGGGGGCCTCAGCACCACGAAGGTAAACGGAAGTGACCTTCTCAAGCTACGAAACAAAACAACCCCCTCCCTCAACTCCCAGCACGGGTCCCTCGGCCGAGGCCTCCTCCTATACGTGCGACAGGGACACCTGCTTGTGGTAGGCGGCAGAGGGGCCCGGAGGCCCGGTCCTGCCAGTGAGCGCCGCGCTCGCCTCGGCGTAGTCCCCGGCGGCCATAGCGCCCCCGCTCTTGTGGCCCCGCCGCGGGCGGCAGCAGCAGCGGCTGGTGAAGCGCCGCCAAGACTCCACTGTCTTGCCGGACCAGATCCAGACGCCCGACGTGATGCCCACCACCAGGCACATGAAATACTTGAGCATGAGCACCCAGTACTCGGGCTTGGCGCGCGGCTGGCCGGCGTCGGGGCCCGGGCAAGCGCAGGTGAGAGCCGCCTCCCAGCTCTCGCGATAGTGCTGCTCGTACAGGTAGCAGGCCACCACGATGCTGGCGGGCACCGTGTAGAGCAACGTGAAGATGCCAATGCGGATCATGAGCTTCTCCAGCTTGTCCGTCTTGGTGCCGCCCTGCTTAATGACGCTGCGGATGCGGAAAAGCGACACGAAGCCCGCTAGGAGGAAGAGCGTGCCCACCAGGAGGTAGAGCACCAGTGGGCCCAGGACGAAGCCGCGAAGAGAGTTCAGGTTCTGGTTGCCCACGTAGCATATGCCGGCGACCGGGTCCCCGTCCACCGAGCTCAGAGCCAGCGCCGTAATGGACTTGACGCTGGGAATAAGCCACGCTGCTAGGTGGAAGTACTGTGCATAACCCGCAATGGCCTCATTGCCCCATTTCATGCCAGCCGCCAAGAACCAGGTGAGCGACAGGATGACCCACCAGATGGAACTGGCCATGCCAAAGAAGTAGACTAGCAGGAATACGACGGTGCACAGCGCAGGGCCGGTCGTCTCATAGTGGATATGGTTGTGCTCCCGGCTGCAGGCCACACTGGCATGGCCCACCACCAGGCGCACCAGGAATCCCAGCGACACGCACAGGTAGCAGGCTGACAGAAAGATAATTGGGCGCTCCGGATAGCGGAAGCGTTCCATGTCAATGAGGAAAGTGGCCACCGTCGTGGAAGTGGAGATGAAGCAAAGCACTGACCAGAGACCAATCCAGAAGGTGGCGAACGTGCGCTCGTCTGGGCTGAAGGACGGCTGGTAGCAGGGCACCGCACAGTTGGGCACCTGTCCTGTTCGCACCTTGTTGTAGAGTGGGTGCGACTCCTTCAGGATGGGCACGAAGGGCTCGCGGCACGTGCACACAGATGGGCCCCCTGCTGTGCACTCGCTCCCGGAGGACGGCGCCCCTGGCGGGCCTGGGAGGGTGGGCTTGGCTGGGAAGGATTTGGGGGGCGTCGTGGTGGCCTCACTGCGGTTGTAATCCATGCACAGGACCTCGGCGTCGCGGCCCAGCACAGGGAGACGGTCACAGCTCATGCGCTCTGGCCAGGCGAAGCCGTACTGGCGCATGAGAGGCGAGCAGCCGGCCTTGGCGCGCTCGCACACGGAGCGGCAGGGCGGCAGCGGTTTATGGTAGTCCGGCAGGCAGATGGGCGTGTACATGGAGCACAGGAAGAAGCGCAAGTCCGGCGAGCAGTGGATCTCCACCAGTGGCCAGAACTGGTGCACCTCCAGGCCCGCCTCGTCCTGCGTGTCGTGGTTGAACTGGTTGGGCATGTGCGTCAGGTTGTAGCCGATGCCGCGGCACATGGGTACCGTGATTTCCTGGCACACCGGGGCCTTGGAGGCGGCCGCCGCCCGGCCCGCCAGCTGCGCCAGAAGCAACAGCAGGAGCGAGGGCGGCGCGCACGGGTCAGGCCGAGCCATCGCCCCCTCCCTCCCCTCTCCTCCCGCAGCCCGCGAGGGGCCAAGGCAGGCAGAGGAAACCGGGGCTGGGGCTTCCCTCTCCGGAGTCTCCCGTGTGACGCTGGCGTTGGCAACCTGTTGGTTTCTTTTTCTCTTAAAGAAATCCGTCCAAAGATAAACTGCTTCGGGAAAGCGCTGCCTCCACTGCCAGCACTCAGCTCTTCGCAGGACAGGGCTGGAGAGGGACGGTCAGGGCTCCAATTCCAGGGAAGGGACTCTTTTAAAAGAGAAGGGGCGGGGGGAGAAAAATTGCAACCTCTCCTYTTGGAGGGGCGTCCCAACGGCTCCGTACCCAAAGCAGTCTCCAATCTCTAACTTAACCACTCTCTTTTCCTCCCCTCAACCTCCTCGAACCAAAGTACTGACTCTCACCACCCTCCTTTTCCTGGCCGGGCCCTCCAGGCTGTGCCTCGGGGTCAGAGCGCTCAGCCCCCGGAAAAGGGCAGAGAAACCGGGAGAACAGGGCAAAAGGGAAGGCGCGGGCTCTCACCTCTAAGGATCTCGCCGAGAAGGGCAGATGTCTGCAGCCAGCCTGGGTCTTCTGTCCCTGGGACACTCGGCTCAAAAACGCAACTCCGAGTCGGGCCGAGGCCGGGAAAGTTTAGCGACAGGCTGGGTAACCGTGGCGGCGACACATGGTAGCAGGTGGGGGCGTCTCAGAGAGCTGGCCGCCCCCCGAACAGGGTCGGCGCAGGCCTGTCACTCGCCTTCTCTTCCTCCGGGCCCCCCGTCATGTTCTAGGCGGAGTGGGGCAGAGGCAGGCCGTGTGTTCCACCCGGGTCCGAGAGCCGGAGCAAAGGCGAGAGCGCCTGGCAGCACCTGGGAGGGAGGAAGGCGGAATGCGGTGGCCGGGAGACCCGGCCGCCTCACAGCACGGCTAGCAGCCGGCGCTGGCCCGGCCGGGACTGCATGGTGCGCGCTCGCCGCCGCGTCCCGCCCGCCGCTCGCCTCCTCCCCTGCAGGGGGCTCCGCGCTCCAGCGAACTCCTGGGGGCGGTGGCTGTGCTATCGGGAAGCAACGGGTTGTTCGGCTCCTCCCCCGCGCTCTCGCACCCTGCCGCCCACCTTCGGTGGGCACAGAGCAGCGCAGACGGCAGCGGGGACACGGCCGCGGGCTGACTGCCCTCTCCCTCCCTGCCCGGGTCACCTGCCTCTAATGCCCGGCGGGACGCCCCGCCCCGGCCCCGCCCCCTCAAGCCTGGGCTCGAGTGGTGGGCCACCCGGCCAAGCTCTCCGCRCGTCCCCTCCCACTGCCCCGCGGGCTCGGCCTCTCCCTAGGCGCCCTCTGGCCCCTCCCTGGGCCGGCAGCCGAAGAAAACTGGCCAATCGTGAGTCGGCGAATGGCGGGGGTGGGGCGAATGCTAATCACGCCGCCTTGAGAACCCGGGCGGGAAACCCTGGCCAGGAGTCCCTCCGGAGTTCTCAGCGAGCGCTCGCTAGTTCGGGACTCACTTTGCTGCGATGTGGTAGATTACGAACCATCGCATTCAGGGCTCCCACCAGGTTTCTTTACAGAGTCCAGCGCTTGTATAAACAACTACTCAAAGAATCATTTTTAGCTGCAGCACCTGTCTCTCTCCTTCGAGGTATTGAATTGGGTGAAAGAAGAGCTAATACTTATTGAACCCCCAACAACTTGTTAATCGTTTGCATCTTAATGCAAGACCCGAAATCCTTACAGTTCCCTGAAGCAAGTGCTCCTTAGAGGTGAAGAAGACGAGACTTAGYAGCTTGACCTAGGCAACCGAACTCGACAATCTTGTTCGCCGCCGCATCCGAGCGTTTGGCACACAGTAGGCGCTCAAATCTCAATTCTAGGGTTGGAACCCAAGTAGTTGGGAGCGGCATTCACGATCTTTACCACTACCCCCCCAAAACACACACCCCCATATTATCGAAATCTCCCAGGCTTCGACCTTTACTTTTGCACATCGTAACAAAATCCTTCTATTGTGACAAGAATTTTTTTTTTTTTTTCTGGGTTTGGGAGACTTGTTAGTCCTTATCAGTCGGGATTTATAATCCCAGGCAGGTCCGGAATCGCCCACGGCTCAAGGTTCTGCACTGGGCAGGACGCTGGGGAGTTGCCTGCTGCTGAGTTGCGCACTTGCGCACCCCGAGGGCGGGGGGGGGGCATCAGCCTGTTGGACTCCAGATGGGTTATTATGCTGGRAGTTTTAAATGTCCTACAAATGCCTCTTTTCTACGCGTTCTAATTAGGTTGGAAGACTGAGGTGTTTAGCATATTTAACATTCATTCACACACTTACGAAGAGGGTTTAAATTGTATCCAGCTCTCTCACCCCTTCCTTACACAGGGCGGAAGGCAAAATAGGCAGAGGGCCTGGGGACACTTGAAGGATTCAGGACTGGACTCAGTGACTGAGATTCAAATGTGAATTGTTGTCGATCATCTGTCCTGGCTCACATTTGTACACATTAGGAGACTAAATTTCAGAATAGCCATCCCCCTCCTGCTTCTGAACAAAGCTTGATGGGAAATAATGAATATGTATGTTAATATCAGCCTCACAGTTAAAAAGGAGTAAATTGCCTCAGAKACACCATAACTATTAATAATTGTTTACAGAGTACATTACATCGTTCATTTTCTGGAATTCTACAGGTATTCGTATTTTTATCTCTGGGTTTTTGGAACCACTTAGCCTTCGAGGTCTGCAGATGCCCGGGTTGAAAAATAGTGGGAGTTGAAATGCTATGGCATAGCAGTCCAGAAGAAAGGGGCACCCTCAGTGGAAAGTATGTGCAGCCTGTGAGCATGCCAAGGGAGGCCTAGCTCATTCTGTGCCTTATATGCAACGTGCATATTATTGGGGATGAACAAGTGTTGGCTAATAATAAAAATTATTTGAAGTTGGATAATGTTAATCACTCATACTGGAATTTAGCCAGATTACTTGTGTTATATCATTTGGTTCTGACTCAAAGTATGTTGTCTACTGGTTTACAAACCTCTYTTCTTAATGAACAACACAAATTTTACTTTTGCTTGGAGAGCTCTAATAATAGGAACAATAGAAGAAAATACAGTGGAAAGAGATTTAYTTTTGTATTGTATAGCTTTTTGTATCATTTTAATTTTTCTTCTTTTGCTATATTACTTCAATTTAAAGATAATTTAAAATATGATCTTTAACATATCCCAGGTAGGATCCTAAGTAATTTTACCTCATTTAATCATTGTAACAATCAKATGAAGAAACTGGCACCAAAATGACTTCCTTAAAGGTATTTATTTAGTAAATGGAAAGGGTAGAAATCAAAATTTGTATACACCATGATGACTACAGTTAATATGTTGCAATTGAAAATTGCTAAAAGAATTTTAAATGTTCTTACCACAGGGTGGGGGGGTAACTATGTGAGGCAATGCATATGCTAAATTGCTTGATTTAGCCATTCCACAGTGTATACAAACATATCAAAACATTATGTTGTACATCATTAATATAGAGAATTTTTATTAATTTAAAATTAAAGAACACACAATTTTCTCCTAGATCTTTAGTATTCAACAAGCTAGAAAACACTGCTTTTTTAAAAGATGAAATTTATTTAATTTTTTGAGTGTGTGTTGTATGGTGGTGCTGGGATGGAACCCAGGGCCTGGCACACGGTAGACAAATGCTCTGCTGCTGAACTATGTCCCCARCCCATACCATTGCAATTTTTAAGCACTTAGAGCATTGCCAAGCATCCTTATCTATCAGTTTACTCATCTRTTCTTCCAACTATTTATCCAAAAAGTCACTCAACAAACATGAAATTTCTTAGTTGAATAAACTACTGTTATGTTAAACTTATTTCTATCAAACCAAACTCATGAAATTATTGTTCAAGGTATATTTATTAATTGTCAAAAGTCTATAGTATAATGCCAAATATTCAGTTTCATAAGTGTATGACATTCCATAAGTTTTGAAATATTGATTTTGGATTTTGTCATCAGAAAATAGTTATAGCATTTTTAATCTTATTCGTTTATGTTGCTTATATATCTATTATTCTGAATGCTGTATGAATGAACAGGTACCCTGTGATTACTATTTATAATCTTGATAATTGAGCGGGTTAATGGTATGCTAAATATAGATACTTTCACTAAATATGATATAAATGAATGAGTGAATGACAGACAACATTCGCTTTTTTGACTTTACAACTGGCATTGTATCCTTGAGTATTTACCGTATGAACCATATCTCTAAGGTTGCCCATACTCTGTTAAGTACAGCGTGAGTTCAGTTTTGGCTTTGCCCTTACCAGCTGTGCACCCTTGGTCAAGTCACTTAACAGCTCCAGGCCCTCCTTCCTATCTGTACAATGGAGTTAGAAATAATTATCTACCTCTTTGAACTGAAGTCAGAAGTAAATGAATTTATTTGATAAAGGGCTTAGAACTATGTCTAGCACCTCATAAGTCTATATAAATCTTGACTACTCTTATTAGTTTATACGTAGAGAGTTCATTGTTTTTCTGTTTTCCCAATTTTCTCTTGTATGTTACTTTCACAACAGAAAGGAATAGTTATATTTTTCAGATGTAGTTTATTTCTGAGCATACTCCCGGCCATCGCCAGCTATCTTTGGCACTTAGCTTTTACTAAATGTAATGCCAAATCTGAGATCATTTCATTTATTTCATTTGCTCTGGATCAGAGTGCGTGTACCTGACATCAGCAGCCACAGGTGCACACAAGCTGGCACAGGCTAGACACCACATTCTAACCTGACTCCTTCACAGGTATTTCCAGATGAGCTCCTTCCATGTCCTACTGTGTCTCTGTTCGCCCCTCTTCCCCTTATATTAGCCAGGATTAGCACCACCAGCCATCTTTCAGGTTGATAATGAGACTTGTCTTTTTCACTTTATAAGTGGAATATTTCAACTATAATCTTTAGTCTTCTCCCCTCCCACACCATGATGGAGATTATAGAAAAGTAAAAGCAACAGCTTTCCTTTTCTCCCCAAGGTAATAGAAGTACTAATCTTTCTCACATTGATCAAGAGGTCTCAGCAGCACATTACAATCACCCGGGGAGCTTTAAGAACTTGTTAAATCAGAATTTCTGGTTGAGGGGTCTAGACCTTTTTAGGTTTCTTTGTTTTTGTTGCTGTTTTGTTTTAACTCTCCAAGTGATTCTAATTGTCATCTAGACTTGAGAACCACTGAAAAAGTGGTTTTGGTGCCTCCTCGGAACAGTCCCCAAAGTGCACTTAGCTGGGTCTTCTACAAAAAAAGGATTAATCACATCAACATATAAAATGGAATACCTCAGGAGAAAGAAGTAGAGAAGTGTGTTTGAGGCTGATTACATCTGAATGTACTTAGGCTGAAGGGAAATTAGGTAAAGCAACATAATTATGGCAGAATGTATTAACCAAGAGGATCACTATGGCGACAGTTGTTGAGGAATATGAAGTGCTTCTTGTACGTGTACCCTGTGTTAAGCATTTTACATATATAGTCTCTGACCTCCAAGAGTCCTGTGTGATTGATTTTATTATCTCCACTTTGTAGATGAAGAAATTGTGGTTCAGACAATTTGGCTGAATAACTTGCCAAAGGTTGCAAACCTTCCAACTCGGGTCTCCCTG